AGGGGTCCCCCATCAGCTCCTTCCTCCTCCTCCAGCCCCCACCCTCTCCCGCTCCTACATACCAGCACGGAGTCCAGGTCCAGCTCCCTGCGGCAGTGAGCAGGGACTGCCCGAAGTGCTGAAGCTCTCTGAATCTTTTCCAAATCGATTTGGAGAGCTTTGAATCGATTCAGACCTCTTCATTGATCCCATGATTCGATTCAGTTTCGGAGATTTGGCCACTGATTTGGACTGAATCTCCTCAACATTGAATAAGCACCCGAAGCTTTGCACAGCCCTAGTGTTTGTCCCACGTGCTGATTTAGTGTGCGACTGCTCACTGGAACTTGGTCCAGAAGGCACCTGGCCACAAAGTCTTATTCCTTCTAAGAATGACACACATGCTTAATTTGAAACGTGAGTAGTCTCATTGAGTAGCAGAGGATTACTCACATGCTTTAAAGTTCTGGATGTATGCAAGTCTTTGAAGTATTGGTGCCTTAAAGTCTAATCCTACTTCCCTTGACTGTAACAGTGCCAGATCAGACCCTTTGTGAGCACTGAGCAGAGCATCCTATTGAGAACCAGTGGAGCTAGCATCATCATCTATGCCGGTTTCCAGCTGGCTTGTGGGAAGAATGTAATCTCTTGATTTGTAATGGCTAAGGCTGTAAATGGCTGTGTCCTGTGCCTGTGAGAAATTGCATCCCTACACTTGCAAAGGCACTTAAGCTGGACTCTGCTTGGTAAGACAGAAATGAGGCTGTTGGCAGGATGCTCCAGGAAGGATCCTTGATCAAGGTGGTCTGTTCCTTACAGTTCTGGATTGCCTTGATACATTGATTTTTCGCTGCCTATTGTGGTATTGATCTGTTCTCGTGACCGTCCATTGGGAGCAGGGGCATACATGTAAACAGACTTGCATAGTCTGTCTTGTTTTATTTTTCTGTTTCCAAATCTGTAGTCAGTTTTGCTTGCGTTATCCTTGTAGCCTAGGTAATAAACCTTTTTGTCTTTTGGCTCCTTACTGATTGCCTGTAATTTTTAGGCACATGATATTCCAGGCAAGCCCAAGCTAAAATATTCTTCCATAACCCAATGGGTGCCCACCTAGGCTGCCAGGGATTGCCTCACCTCAGCTGCAGGGTTTGGTATAAGGAAAGTGGATCCAAGGCTCGCTGGGGTAGGAGCTATCCCAGGGCAACCTCAATTTGTTCCGTGGACAAGTAGCAGCACAGTGGGGAGAAGCTCAGTGCTCTCTGCAGCCGTGTTTGTGACAGTTATAAAATCCTATTAAATAAATAATGGGGGGGCATTGGTAAAGGAAGTATAATTGGATGGATATGCAGAACATGACTGCATGGGGAAAAATTGGGGAAAATGAAAACCAGATAACTCTCAATCACAAACAACACCACTGCTATTTGTCAGTGAGAAGATTTTGTAGCTGACTTCTTTTTATTTTTTTTTAAGTTAGGCTATTTTGGTGTGTTATAGAAACAGCATGTACCAAAACTTGACGTGTGATTGGGTTACATTCTAAAAATTAGAAAATAAAGGTCAGTTCAAATTTGCAGGCTTCAGCAGCTTTATTTCTTTCAGCATCTGAACAAACTTTTGGGTGCTTGTCTGGACCTTCAAGACACTTAGTATCAACTATTATTTAGCTGTTCTCTCAACTTGACCAATACATAAATATTAATAATTAATTAAGGGCAATCTGTGAGAAATTAAAAACAGTGATTTTTGTCAGCTTTTACCACTTCATAGAGCTCAGTGAACAACTAATAATGAATAATTTAAACAATAAGCTTAAAGCTTCATAGATTTCTAGAGTCGGAAGGGACCTGGTAGATCA